GCGCCTGCGTGCTAGGCACTTGGTTAGCACTCAATAAATGCCAGCTGCCTCACTGCTGCTGCTCCCAGCAGACCCAAGTCAAAACTGGAATTGTGCAGGTTTTGTGCAAATTTCCTAGTTCTGACTGTTAGCAACTGATTTGTGAGCCAAGGTATATGCATTCATGCCTTGGGAAACTGGGAACCAAACCCCTGAAATGAAAAGATCCAAGAATCAAATTCATTTCTCTTTCAGAAAAGGGGAGATAAGAGATGTGAGCTTGTTGATGTTGAGTAGAAAAAGGTTCCTATTTGATTTTTCCATTTTATTTTAAAAAGAAGTTCCAAATGGCGCAAACCGAAGTTCAAAAACCCAACTCTTGCAGGCCAAGCAACTCACAATTAGGTACGAATAACATGGACCCCAGGACTCCAGGCAATAGCAAGTGCTGTGTACAGCAAAGAATGCTTATCACCTTTTTGTGCCATGGATGTTTTTGGCAGTCTAGTGAAATCTGTGGACCCTTTTCAGAATAATGTTATTAAATAAAGTACATAGGATTACAAAGGAAACTGATTATATTGATATGCAGTCATCAAAATAACAAAAAAGCACGTTTGTGATTTAGGAATATATGTGCTCCTTACTCATGATTAAATATCATGATCTCTGGGTACAACTAATAACTACTGTGATTTTGAAGTATGAAGGATGAAGGTACTCAATATTTTGAAATATCTACAGAATTTTAATATGACATGGAAATATCTATGATTTCCATTGGTAATAAAAAGACAAGTACTGCTAATATTACCGTACGTTCGTAATTGCAGGTAATGCTCAGTTCCAGTCCTAGGTTAGTGAAAATAAAGATGGATATTTTCCCCATGCAAGGTCATGGACGTGCTCTTGGGGCATCTGTAGAGCCAGGTTAAGAAGCCCTGGCTTAGAGCAGCCGGGCTGAGGAAATGGCCTCTCCAGAAACGATGCTGAAGCAAGTTACTCCTCAAGCATTTTCTTTGCTTTGCTTTTGCCTCAAGCTTTCTTTGCCAGCTGTGTTAACTGAGCAGTTCTAGAACCCCAGGGAGTGGGGAAGGTGGTGAACTCACTTCTGAGAAATGCCACACCTGGATCATCCTTCCTTTGTCCCTTCAACAAGGCTTCACTCAGAGCCCTCTGGGTGCAGAACCAGCGCACATCAGCCTCTCTCTCTTGCTGTACATGTGCAGGTGTGGACACCGGGAGGCCTGACAAATAGCATGAGCTCCAGGCTGGGGAGGAAGAGAGCTAGAAAGTCAAAATTCTTCCAAAAGGAGACAGTGTCGAGCTTTGGGGAAGAATGACGAAAACTATGTCAACCCTACATTAGTCAGAGTATCTCACTAGATTTGGAAACAGCATTAAGATGCTCAAAGAAACCTGCTAGTATTAGAGTTTATGTAGGCAGATATAACATAGCATCGTCCTAAACAGTTACTGAAGGAATTTGAGTTTCTGAGGAAGTGATGCTGAGCTTCGATACAGCCAGGGTTCTATAGGAATACTTCCAAACGATTAGGCATTTCTGGCAACTTTAAATTTTTATTTCTAATTTTATTGAATTATGATCTGATTTGGCTTATCTTTGTTGTCCCATACATGATAGATTCTCTTTAGGAGATGTGATGTGTGTGTGTGTGTGTGTATCTATATCTATATCTATATCTATAATATTAAATCTAGTATATTGATTATGTTATTCAACTGTTCTTACTTATTTGTCTATTAGATTTGTCCAATTCTAAAAGAGGTATATTGAAGTATTCCACTATAATTAGGTTTTTTCCAGTTTTCTGTACATCTGTAATAATTTTCACTGAAGTGCTATGTTATTGGATGTATGGTTTTACGAGTGCTGTACCTTTTTCATACACTGTGCTTGATACAATATCAAGCATGTATACACTGTAATGATACAATATCATTACATAATGTCCATCCTTCCCTCACCAACCTTGACTTCCGCCCTGTCCAGTGTTGATCTCATCTCTCCCATCTTCCTTCTGTTGAATTTGTCAGGTGTGGCCATCCACCAGTCATCCCCTTATTCATCACATTGGGTTAAGTGTTTTCTTTCTTTCTCCTCATCCTTTTATCTTTTTCTTTTCTTTTTTACCCACTCTGACACTCTGGCTTTTAATGGAAAAATGCGGTTCATTCTAATTTGGTATAATGACTGATATACTTGATTTTATGTCTTCCATCTTACTTTTTCTTTATTATTTATCTCACTCTGTGGTTTCCTCTTCCTTTCTCTTTAGTTTCACAGTTGGATTAAGTTGCTGTTTTTCACCTTTTCTTGATTCTTTACTTTTCCTAAATTGTTTCAATCACTCCTCCTTTATATTTCTCTATGATTTGAAAATAAAATTTCAAGTTTTCCCACCAATACTCTCTACTCCCCTAACTCCCCTTAATGAGGTGAGACTTCCAGAGCTTTTGTTTCCGCCCTCTCCTCTCACTAGGATGGTTCCTTGAAGTGTTTACCCCATACTGGCCCCACAAACTCCCAACTTCTTGATGTTGCTGAGATAGTTTAATACTTTCTTTCTAGGAAACAGATTTTTCCTTCCATTATGTCCTTTTTAGCACTTATTTTACATTCCCAGTCCATCTAACTAGTTTCAGGATTCAGGATACCCCTCCTATCCAAAAACATGAGTCTTCTATTATCTGTTTAATTATTTCCTCTTCTCCACCTGTTCCTTTTTCTCTATCTGGGACTTTGAGTATTCACATCTCTTATGGCCTGCCTCTGTTCTTCAGATCTCATTTCTTTTCCTTCACGATTTCCATCTATGCTCCGTGTCTTTGCTTTGCACTTTGAAATTATTTTTCTAGTTGATCTTTCCTAACACTGTTGGTTTGCTGTTCTGACCACCTATCCTTCAATTCATTTACTGAACTTGAAAATTGTTTTAGTTCAATAATCACATTTTAGATCAGAATTTTGCACGTAGGTGCTGTACAGCAACCTTCATAAGTGTTTTTTATATTCTTCGTAAGCGCTTTTTATGTTCTGTTCAAATAGATGCTTTCAACACGAGTTCTGCCCTTGTCTTCACCGCCCATAGGCAGTGTTATTTTACATACCGGGCTCACTCCAGCTTAGTTGTGGCTGTGGGGAATCCCAGCAGCGATGGAGCAGTGATGAGCAGCAGGCAGGAGGCTTGGTCCCCAGTCTCCTTTTGCTCTCTCAGCCCTCAGCCCACCTGTTCCTCTCCTTCTGGGCTTATGAGGGTGAAGGAGTTCTTGTGCAGTGGTAGGGATAGACAGGGGGCACCTATGATTCTCTGTAGAGTAAGCTCTTCCCAGCATCCAAAGCTATTCCGCCTCTGCTCTCGGGCTCTTCAGCCTTTTTCTAGCCCCTGCTAGACTGCCAGTGGCCCCAGTCCCAAACCTCAGCTGCCCCAGCCACGTGTGAAGCCCCCCCCCCCCCCAGCCGCTTGGCTCAGAAGAGGCAGGCAGATTGGATTTGGGAGAGAGAAGTCCTGAAAGGCGTTTAGGGTAGGTCTCTCCAGAATCCATCTCTCGACTGTTATTACTTTGCATTTATAAAAGTGAATCACAAAAAAAAAAAAAAAGAAAGTGAATCACAATCATTGCAAAAATAAAATAAACAGTACAGAATTGTGCAAGATAAAAAGTAAAAGAATCTCCTTGTTTCTGTCCATTCTTCCAGGGTAGCCACTGTTAATAGATTGGTGGTCTTTCAAATATTTTCTGTTTACTTACTTACATATATTTTATACATACAAGTGGGGTCACGCTATATATACTGTTTGGCAACTTGTTTTTTTTTTTTCCCCTTAGTATGTTAGGAACATTTTTTTCATATAGGCTTCCCACATTTCTTTTAATGACTGCGTGGCTGCATGGCTTTCAACTGTGAAAATATCAAAATGTGCCTAATGGATGTTTGTTAGATACAGTTTTCTCTATCGTGAACAGTGATGCTTTAAAGCTCCGCGTACATCCGAGTGTATTTCTGCGGGCCAGGTTACTAGATGTGGAATATGTGGGTGAAAGGATATAGGCCTTTTAAATTGGAATAGCTTCTTCCAAATTACCTTCCAAAAAGGTTGAGCTCTTTGCTCTCCCATCTATGGAATATGATTTTCGCTGTTTCTCATACTCTGGCTGACACTGTATTATCAATTTTTTAGTTTTTGTTAATTTGATAAAGTAAAAGTAGTATCCTACTGTTGCTTAAATTTGAAATTTTAAAATTAGGAGTGAGGTGGTGTATTTTTTCATATGCTTATTGTCCTATTGTATTTAAAGCCGTGAATTACTTCTTTGTGTTGCTTTCTTCCTTTTCCCATTGAATGATTAGTCTTTTTCTTGATTTGCCTGAGTTCTTTCTCACTTAAGGAAGTTAGTTCTATGTTTCATTTGTGTTTCAAAAATGTTTCCTCATATATTTGTCTTCAGCTTTTTATGATGGTTTTTGCTATACTGTTATTTTTAATTCAATGTTGCTTTATCAACCATTTAACCTTTTCCTTTTCAGGTTTTCTCTCTTGCTTGGAAAGATCTTCCTTACTTGAAGATGATATCTATACAAAGCATTGACTCATAGTTTCTTCTTGTACTTTTATGGTTTTATCTTTTACATGTAAATCTTTGATCTATCTGAAATTTATTTTGATGTAAGTGAAGAAGGAATCCAGCTTAACTTATTAAATTTTTTCTATATGGCTGCCTGTTCAATCCAACATCATGATTACAGTCCATCTGTTTCCAACTGGTCTGGAATGACGCCTTCAGCATAGATTAAATTCCCATGTGGCTGGATATTTTGTTGAATGATTGTCAAAAGGGAGAGCCTTGCAACTGAGGTGTTTTCAGAGCTTGACTCATGAGTATAGGGCACTAGCGCCCAGGAACACCTCTGAGAGAATGAAATTGGAACTTTCTTTCTTGCCTCTGCTTCGGCTTCCCTTCCGTGCTCATCTGCCTTTTTGTTATTGGTGTTACAGATATCTGAGAAATACGGGCTGCCTGTGGAGAAGATAGCAAAGCTTTACAAGAAAAGCAAAAAAGGGTAAGAAAGAAACTGAACTTAAATTGACTTCCAAATCAGATGTCTACATAGTGCCTTTTGAAAAAATGTTGTCTGTCTTTTGCCTACCTTTCATTAAAATTGTGTGTCATCCTTCCAAAGGATGGCTAGCAGCTTGCAAGTACGATGCATTTTGAAGAATTTTAATGAGAGAGGGAGAGTGATAGTGCATTGACGTGGTGTTGGTTGAGATGCCCTATTCCAATGACAGGATGGGCATGTGGAACAGAGGGCTCTAGAAGTGGGGAGGGAGGCAGGGTCACTTCTCTGCAGAAACTGGGGGTTATTGGGAATCACAGACTGTTCCTGGGGTTGGTTTCAGGGTGGCACAGTAGGAACAAGAGGGGTTCGGGGCATACAGGATTCTTGTGAGGTAATTATTAACGAAATGATCCAAACGATCGTTGGACCTGCTTGTTCTCGGTGTTAAGAACAATAGCTCTCATTTATTGGGTGCTCAGTAGGTTCCGGGTCCTCTGCTAGTGCTTTATCTGCATTGGTCTGTTATTCCTCACCACTCTGTGAGGCACATTCTTATCCTTAATTTACTGATGAGGAAACTGAGCCAGATGGAGGTTAAACATCTTGCCCAAGGTCTCATGTTCAGTAGGCGGAACAGAGATTTGAACCCAGGTCTGTGGCCCCAAAGCTCAAGTGCTTAGCTCCACATTCTGCTATCTACCACCACCAGTCCTCCTGGGGCTTCCTGTGTATGAGGTTCTAAGAGTAGAGGCTGCAGGAGCTAGATTTAGTGCCAGGAGAGGGTCTCCACTGAGTCAGCTTCCAGGGCTATTTTCCTACAAAAAGCAGAAAATCGGTCTTTAAACTCTTCTCTGGGCCTCACACATAAAGGAAATTGATGAGCAGGCTTTCTGAGTGATGCGGTCTCTTGGTTGATTGGGAGTCAAGCAGGAAACCCTCTCCACTTGAGGCCTGGAAAGCTCGCTAAAATGCAGATTACAATTCTTTGCAAGGTCAGTGCAATAGGTGGGTGCATTCCTTTGATGGTGAGGTTTGAGCCATGTCTCAAGGTCTTACTGCTGGGCACAAAACCTCAGTGCAGATGGACACGCCGATGGTGCTAACATTTCACTCTCGTTGAGCGCCGTGTCAGGCCCCGGGCTAAATACTTTAATCCTAACAAGAACCTTCTAAAGCAGGGTTGTTATTCTTGTTTTTGAAAAGAATAAACTGAGGCTCTGAAAGGCTAAACAACTTGCCCGATGACACATAGCTGTAAAATGATAGAATCAGTTCTTCATTCCCAAACTGAGATCTGTCTGACTTCAAAGAATGGGATTGGCCCAAGGACTTCTAAATCATGGACAGACCCTGGAAGTTGTTGGTTTTCTTAAAACTAAATCCACTGGGGATAGTTAACCAAGGAGTGGGTCACAAGTGGTCAAGTCTGAGCTTCAGAGTGAGGCAAAACTAGTTTCAGACCCTAGCTCAGCCCTGAACGAGCTGAATGAACTTGGGGAAGTGATTCAACTTTCCTGAGCTCAGTTTTCTCATTGGCAAAATGGCGACGATCACACCTACCTTCAAGGTTGCCGTGAGGATTAAATACAAGGGCTCTGAAACACGGGAACACATTACACGCTCAGCAAAGGCCAGCTGCAGTTCTTGCTTATTTTCCTCTTCCTCCTAAGTGCAAAGTACTTTTTTAAAATGCATATTCAAGAGGCAGTATGGTTTAATATAACAATAGTTAGGGGACCTAAGTATTTAGCTCCTGGCTCTGTTAATAGCAACTCTGATTTCAGGCTCTATTAACTGCTCTGGGCCTCAGTTTACCAATCTATAAAGCAGGAGGGTTGAGTTGAACGATCTCTGAAGTCCTGTTTAATAAGGTATCATGAGGTTAGTTCTGAGAAAGTGAGGCTTTGCTTTCCTCACACTGCTTTCTGGGGAAAGAAAATATGAGGGTCTTCTTTTCCTGCCTTTTCTCTTCTCTCCTCCACCCCTCGCAGCCTCCCTTAAAAAGAATGGCTAAGGGAACCCCCAGCCTGGAGCCTGCCCTTGTACTGAGCACGTTGTTCATTGCATCTTTGTTTCTCCCCCCGCACCCCTCTGGCAGCATCTTGGTGAACATGGATGACAACATCATTGAGCACTACTCGAATGAAGACACCTTCATCCTCAACATGGAGAGCATGGTGGAAGGTTTCAAGATCACACTCATGGAAATCTGAGTACTGGTCTCAGCATCCCCTTGGCAGGAGCCCTCAGTGCATTTCTCCCCGAGAGAGATGGAGGCCCCAGAACCCGCAGACCCCCCTCCCCCCATCGCACACCTGCTGTTACACGACCGCGCTGGGGAGCGGGGCCGGCCACAAAGCCCCGTTCCTTGTCAGTGTGTTTGGCTCATCTACCAGCTCCTTCTGTGGAACTGAAGCCGAGCCCCTTGGGAAGGGGCCTTGCACCTGTCAGATCCTTATTTATTGTCCACCTTTCTCCAGAGCCTGGGGTCCAGGCCCGCCAGGGCTCTGCAGGTCACTGCTGGCTCCAGATGACACCGTCCAGAGCCCTCCCCTTCAGGGGAGACACGCCAATCCATTCATCCTGAAGAACTCGGGAAGTCTTGTCCCTTCTATCTCACCTTTCCACTTCTCCTGAGTGGATGGACAAAACGAGCTGCTTCTCGGCGCAGTCATCAGAGGTGGGGTGAGAGGTGGATGCCCCTTTACTGGTCAAAATCCTTCAGGTTGCTCTGGGGAGGGTCATCTTGCTAAATACCTCCAGGGTTCCTAGCGAGTGGCCACCAGGCCTTGTACGGGAAGACATTCAGCTACCATGTAATTAGTAAGGAAGGCAGAAGGTGTGTCTGGCGATCATGTACATAGTGTTTATAATATTGCAATAATATATTTTACCTGTGGTATGTGGGCATGTTTACTGCCACTGGCCTGCTGGAGGCACGTACCTGAGGACTCTGCTTTCTACAAGAGGTTTCTGCCTCTGTGCTGTTCAGGAGGTGAGCTGGGTTAGGGATGTTGTTTTTGGGGTGTCAGGTGACTGCAGTGGGGGCCAAGATGGACGTTCCAGTGGGCGTGCCCGGGGTCTGGTTCCCTGTCCACAGAGGCAACCCTATTCCCTCTCCAGGGTACGACCACCCTGGACGCCACCGTGTTCATCTATCTCCTGGTGATGTGCTTTGCTTGACTCTCCTTCTCAGATTATCTGAGGACCCAGCTTCTCCAGCTTTGGTGTCAGCACTGCCCGAGCTTTCTGGAAAAACTGCAGGGGGTTTGCCCTCAGGGCCCTGTTGCTGGGCCACTGCAGAACTCGTGGCTATCATGTGGCTCCTGGCCACTGTGTAGTGCCTCACAGTTTACAAGCATGTCCTTCATCTCAAGTGGTCCCCTTAAAGCCCAGCTGCAGTTCTGAGAGCAGCGCCAGCAGCTCAGCTCTGAATCCACAGGCAGACTGCCTCCTGGGCCTCGGCCGGAGAGGAAGAGATCAGTTGCCTCTGCTCCAGACTGCTGGATTTGGAGGGAGGGTAGGAGTGAGAATGCCCCAGAACTCCGGAAACCAGCCTCCAGAGAACTGGGAGAGAGGGGTCTTGTCCTCCCGCTCCATGCCCTGGGAGATGAAGAGGAGAAAAATGCTTCCCTAAACAATCACGAGATCCTGACCCATCCTGGGCCGCTGTTCTCTCAGCAGGGACAGGTGGGGGTCTAGGGTTTGCATTCACCCATGTGGGTTGAAGCACTAGCTTTTTGGTAGCCAGGCACATCCCCCAGCCAAGGTCCCGGATCTAGGACAGGTTCTATGTAAGGGCCTAGATCTGTTTGTAAAGCACTTTGACGTCTTACCTGGGGGCTCCCCCTCCAAGGGCTCCCTGCCCCTCCACCCCGTCTGCCCCTGAGGCCCAGAGCAGGATGGAAAAGCTGCTTCCAGCCCAGCTGTGTCTCCTTGAGGCTGCAGAGGATTTGAATGGAATGGAGAGCAGGTGCTGTGCCTAGGAAGATCTCTCGGGGGTGGTAAGGGGGCCCCTTTCTATATGTCTTCTGGATACATTACTCCTCCCTGTGGTGCCAAAGATTTGCATCCTGGATCCAGCTCTTCTCTACTCGGTGACTGCCATGCCCTAGAGAAGCCACTTGGGGACCCTCCTGGGTACTAATGGGGCTCTGTTCTAAGATGGACACACTCAGTGTTGGAAATACATGATGTACTATGCACTTCCCACACTCCTCGCCTTCGGGGTGGTTTCAAGCATGATTGGCAGTCGTAATGGCAGATACTATTGGGCTGGAGCATAGGACTCCAGAGCAAGGAAAAGACAAAATTCTTGGCAGTCTGACACAGGTTCCCTACCCTTCTCTCTGTAGCCTCTGTGGAAAAGTGTTTGCTCGGCATGCCCTCAGCAGGGGATGAATCAGAGATGCTTTTGTGTTTGTCCTCGGTTCCTGAGCAATCATTATGGTGACCACTGCCAGAACAAAGAATATGAGGTCAGGGCCACGAAGAGTGGTTCTGAGTGTCACCTCCCATCTGATCTGTCTCTCATCTTGACCACGTCCCCTCTGCATTCTGAGTGCCCATGGCTTAGCTTTGAAGTATCCTACGCTGTGTATGTTAGCAGAGCTTTGATGAGCGAAATTTCCCAAGCAAAAACACTCCAGAAAGATAGGAAAACTTGCCTCCTCTTTTTTTTTTGGTCCCTTAAATTAATCACACTCAAATAAATAAGCTTTTTCTTTAAAGTCCATGTAAGATGAGGGACACATGAAACAAGTGTTTTTCTTATACATACCCAAATTACTTAGACTTTACAGGTGTTTGGAAATTGAGACCAACAGAAAAATGCAGTCAGATGTCCATCTTGGCATTGGATCCTAAAATACTAAGCGTGTTCCAGCCCAGAAACTTAGGGAGCCTGAAATGAATCAAACATTTATTTTCCTTCTTATTTAAAATCATGAAAATGCAAGAGAAACAGAGGGTTTGTGCCAAATTCTGTGAACGGCCCTTTCTTAAAGATAAGTGAGGAAGATTGACGGATGGACAATTTGCTCTTGTTTAAAAAAAAAAGGCAAATGTAACTTAATAGTTTTGTAAATGGGAGAAGGGGAATCTATAAACTATAAATACAGTTATTTTATTTTTTGTACATTTTTAAGAAGAAAAAAATAAATATTCATAATGTAAGAGTAATCGACGGTGTCTGGTGCTTTCCGTGAGGTGGGTGTTGGGGCTCTTTGCCTCATTGCAAAGAAGGCTTGGTGTGACCTGGAAGATTCTCGACTCCTCTTGGGCACCTTCAGGTCCTGGGCTTCAACACAGCAGGCATTTCCTCTTCTGGCTGCCTTGTTGAGCCCCACCCCAGGGTGAAATAAGAGGCCTGAAGAAATCAAGGGGCCTTCAGTGTGACCATGACGGGCCAACAAATAGTTATTCTTGACGACTTCCTCAGCGCGGGGAGTAGGGTCTATCTGTCCACTTCTTCCTCACACCCAGCTTACTCACCCCCACTTGAATTATCACAAGAGCTTTCCGGTTCCTTAGTTCATCTGCATCAACCCCTACACAGAGGCTAAAATCATGTGGCCGAAACTCCAATTTCATCACAACAGTCCCTTGCCCTGGAACACAGAGGCTCGCGCTAATATCTGTCAGCTCAAATGCAAACACCCAGATTCATTATCCAAGTACTTATTGGTGTTTCCTCAGTGACTACCCACCCACACTCCTTCAACCGTCACCCATGATTATCTCCCGAGAGCCTCTCTGTTCCAAACAAGCAGCGTTTCTCCGTTCTTCCACATCTCACATTCTGTCTATCCACGTCCATAGCTTCCAAATCTTGGCTGAAAATTTGCCTTGAGAAAGCCTTCTCTGACTAACTTCAACCCCAGTGGTATCCCCAGCAGCCTCTCTGCCTGGACCAGTGGGCAGAGAAGAGGATGCTGGGAAGTGCTTATTGAGGAAGCTTCTGGAGAGATCATGGGATTAGAAATGGGCCACAAGGCCTTTTTGTCATGATCCCTGTTCCACAGCCTCGGGGGGGGTCTGAATGCATTCCCTCAGAGGCTCGAGGCCTGCTGAGGATGCAGCTGCTCTCCACATCTCCCTTGAGACAGCCCCTCCTTTGGCCTGTGGCTATGGTCCTGCTGTTTGGTGAACTTTGCTCACCATGTATGCCACCCCCTCTCCCACCTCCCTGTACTGGGACTCTGGTTGGGTAGGTGAGGGTGACCAATTGTCAAGGCCATAGGGTCCAGTACCAGCTCTTGCCTTCGGCTCCCTATACTAATTCAGTCCAGTCACTATGAACCATGTGCTGTGCCCCATGCTGAGGACAAAGAGGCAGGTTAGAGCAGTCTGCCCTCAGAGGTGCTGATGTACAAAGTGATAATGGCCTGGCATCATCAGCATAATAATAGGGGCTTACCCTGGGGGAGTCAGGTCTCTGTCATCACCCCAGTCCTTAGGCATACAAACCACTCTTCCCCTCAGCCTTTCACAACGTGATGAGCAGTCACCAAACGTGAACCCCACTTTGGGAGAGCTGCCAACTCGAGTGTCTGAGCCCATGTGTCTGAGGGTCAACAGGAATGGGGAAGGAGATGGTCATTGTGTCAGTTCAGATCCTCCAAGAAGCAGAAGCCAAGATGGGATTAGATGTTCAAGAGATTTATTGAGGGAATTCATGTGAAGGACAAAGGGGAAATGAGCAGGAAGAGACAGGGAGAACGTGCAGACTGACCCCTGCAAAAGGAGAGAGGGAAGGAAGCTTGGGCAGGAGGAGCCTCAGACTGCCTCAGCCAGGCCCATGGAGAGTCCCCCAACAAAGGTCACCTGTGGGAAGAATCCCATTTGGGGCAAGAATGGCCCAATTCTAATACCCTTGCTATGGGCGGTCATTGACTGGGAGAAGCCCCGGTGATGTGGCCTCAGAGTGAACACTGAGGTGGCTCCAAAAGTTGCAGCTGGAGCCTGTCAATCAGTTGTGCTTTCAGCAGCAGGTTCTCGTAACGGAAGATCTGAACCGGCACCTCTGTGGTCACCACAGCCAACCCCTTCTGAAAAGGTCTCCAAGAGAGATTCACTGGGGCTCTACTTTCATAAGTAAACATACTCCAAGTGGGTTTTCTGGTCTACCACCTTAGTATGATACACCCTGTGTTCCTAGGGGTCCTTCATCTCTACACTTCTCTGAGTTCTGCTAAATGGGTGCATGGGTTCATTTCGGAGACTCAGGAATTCTAGGAAACACAGTGGGGGGCCTCTGATCAACCAGAAGCAGCGAAAGAGGAAGAGGATGTCGACAGGACACTAACAGCAAATGTCACCTGCTTGTTCCCTGGGTAGCAAACACCTCTCATGCGCCACTCAGGAAAGAACTTGATTTCTGCTCTGCCATCAGACAGAGGCATAAGCTACTTTGTAGTTGTTTTCAAGGTGCTGGACCGAACTTACCAGCTGAGCTGCGAGCTTGGTCTCCTACTTCCTTGCTAATATCTCCTACCACCCCTCAACATACTTCCAAGAATATAGGTCTTGGTACTGTGTTGGGTTGCCATTAAACACTCAATGTGAGCCCTATAAAATGGTTAAATACTGATATTGGAAAGATACGTTTTGAGAGATTCTGTCCATCTGTCTGTCTACACATGTGTGGTATACTGCTAGCAGAGCTGTGAGTAATAGGAGTACGCAGGCCAAGCTGCCCAGAATTTTGAAGTATTTTCACAATCTCTTCTAGAGCTCTATTAAAATGCCATCCATCTCTCTGAATAGTGCTGAGAAAAGAAGTCAGGGAATAAGCCTCCCTGAGGCCCTGGCCCCCTCTGAGCTGCCCTAGGGGGTTAGCTCCACACTGTGGAATGTTCTTAGAGGGATCATTGTTTGCAACCCCAGGGATGTCTGGGACCATGCATGGCACATTAACACCCAGTGCAGCAAGCGCCCAGGACCTATGTAAGTCCTGGAGACATGGTCAGCATTCAAGTGTGCAGAAACCTGTTTGAAATGCATATACCATTGGTTATACACTTGGCCTGAACATCTTTTCATTCTGCAACCATCTCTATTTTAGGTGGCTTCAATGTTCTTCTTGTTGTTTCTCCTTTCTCTTCTTTCTTCAGCTACCTCAAAAACAGAAAATTTCAGGAGAGTGTTGAGCATCCTCCGGACAAAGACAAGAGAGGCATGTGTGAAGCATCTCCATTTCTTTCAAAGACAGTTCTTGTGATCTCCTCCCTACCTTGACTGAGAGAACACTCGGACTCCTTCTCAACTGGTGTATACCCTCCATGCCTGAACTAGGCTGTGAGGGGATCCAGTTGGGTTGAGGTGTCGGGACAATGCCCTGAAAATAGGAGCCTCAGGCTTGGAAATTTGCTGGAAATTGCCAGATTGGCCTCCAACAGGTGTGGGAATACAGGCTTCTAATCATGTTGGAGGCTCCCAGCCACCTTCTCACCATCATTGCAATGAATGACATGATATTATTCATGCTCAACACTCATGAGTATCAGGGCCATTGCGGGTCCATAGAGAGAAACTGTGT